CTGGGATTAAAGCTTGAGCCACCACTCCCAGCTATTCTTAACCATCCAGCCACTCTCCAATTTTTGGCTGGAGGAGGAGATATATGGATATGTCTATCTGTCTGTTGTTGTTGTTGTTGTTGGTCATGGTGGTGGGGTGTGTGTGTGTGTGTGTGAGTGTGTGTTATGAGGGGGACCCTGTGTACTGGAGGCCTATGGTTGACATCTGGTGTCTGTCTTGGTCCATTTCCACCTTCTATCTTGAAGCAGGGTCTCTCACTTGAACCCAGAGCTCACTGACTTGACGAGACCACCTAGCCAGCTTGCTCAGGGGATATCATCTCTTCCTCCTTTGTGCTGAGAATACAGATTGCCCAACATGTGGAGATCTGGGGATCAGAACTTCCCGTCCCCAAGGTGGAACCCACTGAACAATTTCCCCAGCCAAGGGATCTTGCTCTGTAGCCTCATGAGCAGAGCACAAGGTCTGGAGAGATATAGGGAACAATGAGCCAAGTTCAAAGCTGTCTGGCAAGCTTTGGGTGCAGTTTCCCCTAATGGCCAGCAGAGGGCAGAGCTGGCTGATTGCTCATCCAGCTGACGTGGTACTTGACTCAAGGCTGAAATTTCTAAGTTCTGGGTGTATTGTCCTTTGTGCCTCTTAAGCTGGCTCCTGAGATTCAACCAAAGACATCGCTTGGTAAGTTCTTTTTAAGTATCTGAAGTCTGCTGGTTCTGTGTTTTCAAAACATTAAAGGTGAAGAGAAATTGCTGGGGTCCTGGTGTGTATCAACATACTGTCTTTCGCACTAAATGAGACTGGAACTCTGATGTCAACATGGAGCTGGAGTTCTCACTTCCAGGTCAGGGCCTGTGTGGCCAGACATCCCCATATGTATTCCTGTTCTTGTCTAGCTAATAGCGCTGCTCCTTGGATGCTAGTGCCTGAATGAGAGGCACCAGCAGACAAATAAACTTGACAGAAATCCCTGTAAAGCCAACACGACTGCCCCACCTCAGGGGATGGCTTGGTCCATTATCTCTCCAGGATGTCCAGATACTTAGTTCTTGGGAACAAGGAGCTGATGGGCACTTGTGTGAAGGAGATGCAGATTCCAGTGTCCATCTGTGTGCCTGCCTGGTGGCAAGCCTTTGAGTGACCACAGCTCACTGCAGCATCCATCATGGCTCCAGGGATGGACCTGACTGAGGCAGAAAGAAAATGGAGACAAGACAAAGACATGACAGCCAGAGAGCTGGGATCTGGTGGTCTGGATTCTTGTCTAGAGAAACCACAGCACCCCAGAAGCTCGGCATGTTTATTGTATAGAGTTGGATATAGAGACAGGGTTACCGTATGTCGCTGGAGAAGGGGGCAGGATCTATGCGGCTGGGTCAAGCAGGTGGGTTTAGCTAATCTTGGTAGGAGCAGGCCCTGTTGGGGAGCAGCCTTCAGGCTGCAAATGTGGGAACGCCAGGGTGTGGTGAAAGCTATGGTAGACATTTTCTGCACACACTGTCAACATCCACAATTGCACTAGAGGAAGGCCTGATGTGCATCCGAGCCTTGCTCCAGGAGGGAAGAAGGCTTTGTCTTCTTTCTCTATGGGTTTGAGGCTCTGCAGTCTTTGACATGGCCGTGCCCTTGTCAACAGCACACGTTCACTCAGAATGCCACACACCCTGTAGCTCACAGCCTGGCTCTAGGAGGAGGACAGGCCTGCCTGCAGAAGATGTCAGGACAGAGTAGGTCATATAACCCAGCACTGGGCTAACACTCATCATTTTACCTTGAGTCACTTCACTGGCCAGCAGAGGGTGTGTGTTCAGTCTACAGCTGTGGAAATGCAAGCTCTGAGAGGGTCCCTCGGGCTTGAGAATGTTGGAGCAGAATAGGTCTGTCTTGCTGTGGCTTTTGATCTCCTCACCACCAAGCCTGATGGAGCAAACATCTCTGTGCTACCCAGTCCCCCCTTCTCTGGTCCTCCCGCTCACTTGTCACTGTTAGACTCGAGGTTCCCTTGATCCCCTACCAGTATAGCTCATTAGCATACCATCAAATCTGGCTTCTATCTGTCTCATCCACATCTCTTTCATCTGCAACAGCCTGCCTGCCCACCCCCTCTGACTCCCCCAGCCCAGGCCCAGCCTCTGCCATCTCCTGCCTCCAGTTCTGACAGCCTCCTAGTCCACCTCCATGCCCCCTTCCCACCTCCATGCCCCCTTCCCACCTCCA